AAGTGCTGAGCATGGAGGTGAGTGCTGAGCGTGGTAATGAGCAATGAGTGAGTTGAATGCCGATCGTAAGGGAAAGTGCTGAGCATGGAGATGAGCGTGTTAATGAGCAGTGAACGTGGAGGCGAATGCCGAGCGTGAGGGAAAGTACTGAGCATGGAGGTGAATGCTGAGCGTGTTAATGAGCAATGAGTGAGTTGCCGAGCACGAGTGAATGCCGAGCGTGAGGGAAAGTGCTGAGCATGGGGATGAGCAATGAGAGTGGTGGTGAGTGGTGAGTTCAATGCCGAGCGTGAGGGAAAGTGCTGAGCATGGAGGTGAGTGCTGAGCGTGGTAATGAGCAATGAGTGAGTTGAATGCCGATCGTAGGGGAAAGTGCTGAGCATGGAGATGAGCGTGTTAATGAGCAGTGAGCATGAAGGCGAATGCCGATCGTAGGGGAAAGTGCTGAGCATGGAGGTGAGTGCTGAGCGTGTTAATGAGCAGTGAGCATGAAGGCGAATGCCGAGCGTGAGGGAAAGTGCCGAGCATGGAGGTGAATGCTGAACGTGTTAATGAGCAATGAGCGAGTTGCCGCGCACGAGTGAATGCCGAGCGTGAGGGAAAGTGCTGGGCCCAGGGATGAGCAATGAGTGTGGCGGTGAGGTGAGCGGTGCGCCGGGCTGCGCAGGGCAAGGCGAAGGGCGTGATGGAGCTGCACCTGGTGCAGCGGGAGCACCAGGCGCTCAAGAGCCTGTACCAGAGCGCGCTGCCGCCCGAGGAGCTGGTGCACCGCCAGATGCAGCACTCGCAGTACCACCACTCGCTGGGCGCCACGCACCAGCCGCCGCCGCCGCCGTCCACGTCGCCGTCGGGGCCCGCGGAGGCCGGCGCGGGGGCGGGCGACGCGGGCGGCAGGCCCTCGCCCCCGCACCTGCCCAAGCGCATCTCCCTGCCCGAGAACTTCGCCTTCTCCTCCGGAACCAGCAAGGTGAGCAAGCGACTGGGGATGCGACATCCATAACGAAACATCGATGTTCAAAATACATCGTCTGAAAGCATCGATGTTTTCCAACATCGATACATTCTTGGCTATCCGGGATGAGGCGCGTCTCGGTCAATTGTGCTGACGTTTCGGTCATCTTGCTGTGGCCTTCGTCAGAGCTATACTGCTGATGCAACATCCACAAAAAAACTTCGATGTTCAAAATACATCGTCTGAAAACCATCGATGTTTTCCAACATCGATACATTCTTGGCTCTCCGGGATGAGCCCCGTCTCGGTCAAGTGTGCTGACGTTTCGGCCATCTTGCTGTGCATACTGCTTCAGCAGTACAGCAGCAGAAGAAGGCCACAGAAAGATGGCCGAAACGTCAGCACAATTGACGCGGCTCATCCCGGTTAGCCAAGAATGTATCGACTCCGGCCGCGGAAGCCGCAAGACGCATATTTCAACATCGATGTTTTTAGGCTGGCTTTGTAACCTCTAATATTAAATTCGGGTGCATTAAAATTTAATTTGACAGTGTTCGTGTTTATCGATTCGCCGAATAAGGGTACGAGAAGGGGCAGACCCTACGACCACAGCGTATTTCTTGACCGTATCTCAATGTGCGAAATGAATATGAAGAAAGAGGAAATATAAGGTCATGAAAGTAATCTCGGGCGATAGAGTTTTGTCGAAAAAGGTAGTGCAAATAGTGTTCCAACACATGAATAACAGTGTTACTATCCGTTTTTATTTCATATTTAACTTGTACAGTATTGTGAGCATGGGAGTTTCCCATTCAGAAACAAGACGTCGAGAAAAAAAACATCGATGTTAAAAACCATCGGATTTAGTACATCGATGTTTGAAACACGACATCGACGTCGCATCCCTACCTTCTACAGCGATCAGCGATCGATTAGCCGAGAGTTTCAATTACGAGGGGTCTGGGACTTCCTTTTGTCGCGGAAGTGCGCTAAGTTTAGTTCAGGGACAGCACTGCCGCTGACTTAGCAACGGATTTGACCGGGAGGCACTAGGGGTCCAGTTCCCACGATGGTGGCAGAATTTTCGTCTCTACCTATATAACTGGGTCTAGTTCAGTCGCTGTCTGGAGGTGAATTCTAGCATCCGGTTGCTCTTTTCCATGTTTTTCTCCAATCAACACCAAGCGAATGCCGGAGTAGTATCTTAACAAACGGGCCACGGACCGCGCGCGATCTCGCCTTCCTCTTCCTTGTCCTATCCTCACCCCTTATTTACACTTCCATGCCTACACTACCACACATGTGGCAGATCAGTGGGAGCTTGGAGTTTGACACGGATGGGGCGGTGTACCGCTGCGGGAGATACCTGTAGGAAAAATCTCTGGTAGCCGACGTAAAGGTCTGCGCCGAATCTCACATTTCCCTTGCCTTCCGGGCCGTAACACACACTACGCGCACGGGACAACTTCCCTAAGTCGTCAACGCTCCCGTCCACCCCCGCAGGACCTGACGGTGGAGAGCCTGCTGCTGGCGGCGGGGTCGCCGTCGGGCTCGTCGTCTCTGCCGCCCTGCACGTCGCCCTCGGGCAGCGGTGGAGGCGGCAGCGGCTCCAAGACGTCGCTGGCGCCCCTGCAGCAGCAGCTCATGCAGCACCGCCTCCTGCAGCAGAAGCGCCAGATCCTGCAGAAGCAGGTCGCCTTCAGCCAGCAGGGCAGCGCCAGCGCCGATTCCGCAGCGGGTAACTTGCCATTGCAGTTTTCGCTATCGGAACTGGAGTAATTCAGCAATATTCTCTCTCTCTCTCTCTCTCTCTCTCTCTCTCTCTCTCTCTCTCTCTATATATATATATATATATATATATATATATATATATATATATATATATATAGAGAGAGAGAGAGAGAGAGAGAGAGAGAGAGATATTAATACTTCTGATAAATACAAAACTTTTAAGTTCAATATGTATTTTAATAACTGGTAAAGTAAATGCTGTTGAATTGTATATTTAACACAAAACCAATTATACGAAAAATCTTGAGAGCGATCATAATAGCAATTACCCCTTCCCCTCCCGGTTTTGTTACTGGTAAGGGCACCTCCACCCCCGAAAATGAACGTATTTTTTTAAATAACTTTCGATCTTAATGTGAGGTCTTGACACTCGGTCCCCAATTTTTTTTGTTGTTGATTTACTTTCTTCAATTAAAATAATTATCGCTTGTTGATCGTAATACTACCAAAGAAGCATTTCCATTATTTTAAGTTCCGTTTAAAGCTGGCAAAAGGAATTTCAAGAGCGTATCTAAAAAGTATTTCAGCGAGTGACAATTTCAGTTCCCTCCTCCGGAAACAGTCTGGATCCGACCGTGTGGTGAATGATTTGAACGAAACGTAATATCTGATTGCAGGTGTTGGCGTTGGTGTGGGCGGTGTGGGCGGCGCGGGCGGCGGCGGTGGCGGCTGCGGCGGCGGCGCGGGGGCGTCCGCGGGCGGGGCGGCGTCGTCGGCCAGCCTGCTGCTGTCGAGGCGGCAGATGCTACGCCAGGCGTCATACAAGCTGGCGCAGCAGACGCAGATTCTTCCGCCTCTGCCGCCGCTCGGCGACCCCTCGCAGGTGAGCGGCCCCAGTCACCAGCGCTCCGAGCGACGCCTCGCGAAACGCTACCCCGGCAGGATTTGCGAGCGCAGTCACGTGACTCGACGCGCGCTACACTTGGGTTTTCAGTTCTTGGCGCGCGCGAGGCCTTGTCTTCACGATGGAATATCTCGCATCTTTCTCGGTCGTGCTGCTATACTTGGGTTGTATTTCCAGGCGCGTGAGGCCTTGTCTTCACGATGGAATATCTCACGGCATTTCGCGTCTTTCTCGGTCGTGCTGCTATACTTGGGTTGTATTTCCAGGCGCGTGAGGAATATTTCACGGTATCTCGCGTCTTTCTCGGTCGTGTCGCTAGATGTCGCAACATCGCCGGCACTGATCGATACGGTCGCGATCATACGACAACTAGCGGCACACTTCAAAGGTCACGAGCTGGACGGAGGAACGGACACAGTCATCCAATCGGGAGCTTCTCAGCAACAACAACAAAAAAAATAAGTCGTAACGAAGCTCACGATTGGATGGCAGTGTCCCCCTCTTCATCCAGCGCCTGAGCTTGAGGAGACCAGGCGCGGATCCACGAGGAGGAAAATCCCCCCCCCCCCTAAAATTTTCTAATCTCCCCCGCCTTCTGAAATTTTTTTCTGTAACTATTAGTTATAACTTGTCACGAAATTTCCTGGAAAAATATTTTTGGGGGATCATTAAGGCGAATGAAATTGTATCGCAGCTTGAACTGAGTGTAGCCTGCGACATTTTACATAATCCGCAATGACACATTCGTCGAATACATTTTTAATTTGCCCTCCCCAATGGATCCGCCCCTGGAGGAGACACATTTAAATCGGACTGCGCTCCCCCGTTGAGCCGTTTGTGTTGTGCTGCAGGGCGAGTTCGCCTCGGAGCTGCTGGCCTTCCCGACCATCGCAGAGGACGCGAGCAACGGCGCGGGCCCGTCCCCGCCGCCGTCCCTGGGGCCCGGCACGGGCACCGGGCGCCTGCTGCCGTCCC